CAGTTTCATTGGACATGCGTTAAGAAATTATTGAGATACCTAAAATACACTAAACACATAAAGTTATTGTTAGAACCAACACATACAGATTATGCAGAATTATGTTGTTATGCAGATTCTGATTGGGCAAGTGATAAGAAATCACGTAAAATTACTTCAGGTTATATGATATTCTTAAATGGATGTCCTGTTTATTGGCAAGTATGTAAACAGAATTTTGTTTCTTGTTCATCTACTGAAGCTGAATATGCTTGTTTTTCAGATGCATGTAATTCTCTAACTTGGTTTGATGCTTTAGTCACAGATATCTGGACACACCCGATCCGACCGATCACAGTGATGGAAGACAATGAATCGGTGGTTTATATTTCTGAATCACATTTCACAGGTTCTAGGTCCAGACACATTGACATCCGTTATCAAAACATAAAGCATTTAGTGAAAAAAGGTTTTGTTAAAATGCAATATGTATCTACACTTGATCAAATTGCTGATATGCTCAACAAACCACTTCCAGCAGCTCAACACGAGTATCTGGGTAAGAAGATGTGTTTTATTTGATGATGTACCTGATATTCGCTCAACTGGCAAAAGAAGGGGATTGTCACTGTGTTCTTTTATTTACCAGCTGAGCTCTCAGTTCTGGACTATCAGACTTTCCGTAGCTTGCCAAGGATCCTTATCAGTAAACTAAAATGCGCATGTCATCACCCACATTTCTTCTTCACACACACACTTTCCTTTGTTCTCTTGCCAAGAAAGGTCCAGCTGAGAAAATAGCCGGCACAAACTTTTGCAAAAATGTAATAATTAATTTCTTTAGATAGTTAGATGTTTTATTTTCTTTATAACAAATAAATGAGTTTTTTCTTAGAAGATATATCTTCGGGTTTTGTTGTCTTATAGTATGCTTGCAAGGAAAAGCCTCGATCCACTCCTCTTAATCAAGGTGCGATTGTCCCAAAAGCAGAATGGGATTAATCAGCGCCCTCACAAGGGGTTTATATTATGACCACAAATACGAAATTATATCAGCACAACTATGAACCGTTATGGCAAAAAATACAGAAAGAGATGGAAAATTGGAAAAAAACTACAACTGTTTTTGCTGGGAAGGATAGCCGCAGTAAAAATGAATGTTTTACCAAGGTTTTTATTTCTTTTTCAAATGATACCTATACTTAAAAAAGATGAAAATTTGAAGGAATGGCAGAAGGGCATAAATACATTTGTTTGGGCAGGGAAAAAACCGCGAGTAAATCAAAAGATAATGCAAGATACATGAGAAAGAGGAGGTCTTAAAATGCCCAATTTAAGATTGTACTACGAAGCTGCTGCCCTCTCAGCAATTACTGATAGGATAAATTTAACGGAGGAAAGGATATTAAATATTGAAGGATATGGTCTGGTCTATGGCTGGCATGCTTATTTATTGTATGATAAGAAAGTAGATAAGACTTTTCAAAGTGATATATTAAGAAATGCTCTATTACGTGTCTGGAAAAAGTATCAATATAAATTAAATGATAAGTTACCAATATGGACAGTACCCAGACACGCGATAGAGAATATAAATTTGGAACAAAAGCAAGATAAGACTACATACAAAGAACTCCTTTATAAAGAAGGAGTCAGACTACAATTAAAACCTATGGAGCAATTAAGAGAAGAAGGAATAATTAGAACTTGGTTTCAATATGGGCAGCTGCAGGCCAGATGGAGAGAAGATCAAAAAATTGGTATTTCGCAACAGGATGAGAATTTGATGAAATAAATAAGAGACAAAAGTCAAATGCATATAAAAAGGTTGTATAATGTGTTAGTGGAAATAGATTCAGAAACAGAGCTAGTCAAGGACTGTATGATAAAATGGGCACAAAATGTAGGAGAACCAATAATGATGGAAACATGGGAAAAGATATGGGTTAGAAATGTAAGATTTACACAAGCTCAAAACTTAAGAGAGAACTTTTATAAAATGTTTTATAGATGGCATTTAGATGCAAAAAAACTAGCCTGTATGTATCCAAACTTAAAACCTAAGTGTTGGCGATGTGGATGTGAAGATGTTACATATTTTCATATATGTTGGACATGTAAAAAAATTAAGGCTTTTTGGATAAAAATATGGTGGATTATGTAAAATATTTTAAAGAAAAAGATTAAATTTATACCACAGGTTTTTTTTTGTTGGGAATAGTTATGGATTGTACTGTAATAGAAACTAAGTTGGTTTTGAATTTAATAACAGCTGCCAGGTTACTGGTGGCACAGTATTGGAAGAAGGAAGATCCACCTACTATTGAGGAATGGACACTAAAAGTCGTGCATTTGGCAGAGATGGCAAAAATTTCAGCATATCTTAAAGACCATTCAAATGAAAGATACATAACGGAATGGAGAAGATGGATTGACTATATTCAAAACAAGTATCAGACTAAAAAGATTCATATAGCTTATGAATGAAACATTTTAAACTTTTAGCTTATGTTTATAGTGTTTTGAGTTATAAGGAGTTAAAGACCTAGAAAGAATTTGAAGTCAACAATTTGTTAGCATATTTTAGTTTTATGTTTGTGGATGCTATATCCTGTGCTTGTTCTGGGAAGTCAAGGGAGGGGGGTGGAGAGAAGGCTGAGGAGGGATGGGTGGGAGGGCAAGGGGGGAGGGAAGGGCTGAGGGGGGAAGGGCGGGGGGAGAAAATGTTTGTATTTCTTATAAAACTTCAATTTAAAAAAAAAAAGAAAAAAAGATAGAAATAAAAAATAAAAAAAAAACATTATTTCTTTGCCTTAATTACTGTTTTAAGTATAAAACAGTTTGGACTCAATTGTGGTTGTAAGTTGAGGACTAACTGTACATGTGAGACAGCGACTTTCCCAAAAATGGTGGGCACAATCCTAGTTCCCCCTATGAGGATTCCCCCATCCAGACCTTTTGCAATCCCCCAAAGTGTCAAAGGAAACCAGTTTCCATACCCTTAAGGCAAACCAAATACAAGTCGTCCTCACTTAATGGCCGGTTGCTTAGCAAGTGTTCTAATTTACGACTGGCCTCCCCAGAGCTACTTGACCTGTTTTTGGAGTTTTGACAGCCATGTATACATACACCCACAATTTATGACCAGTTAAACATCCCACACAGTCATGTGACTATGGTTTTCTATGTTTTTTGCCAGTTTCCAACAATTCCTTCTGGTTTCCGGTTAAAAATGCCCATTGGGGAAAATTGACTTGTTTAACAACCATAGTGTTTGCTTACTGACCACAAGGTTCACTTAACGACCAGGTTCTGCAACCTTAAACACTCAAAGAGCCATTTGTCTATTTTCTTTTAAACAGATCTCTGTGTGTGTGTGTGTGTGTGTGTGTGTCCCTCTCTCTCATCTCTCTCTTTCTCATCTCTCTTTTTCTTTCTGCCTCTCCCTCTCCTTCTCCATCTCTGTCTCTGATCTGTCTCTCATCTCTCTTTCTCTTTCTCCCTTTCTCTCTCTCAACTCACTCTTTCCCCTTTTCTCTTTCTTTCTCTCATATCTTTCTCCCCCCTCTCTCATCTCCTCTCTCTTATCTCTCTTTTTCTCTCATTTCTCTCTCATTGTGAAGTTTCCGAAAGATGCCCTAATTAATTCATGAGCCACGAGCCAAACTTCAAAAGAAATACAGTCATTTATTAGGAGCACCATTTCGTCAATATTCGGATGCAGCTAGAACTAATCCCACACAGATTTACGTGGGATTAGTTCTAACTAATTAGTTCCCCTATGACCCTGTCTCTCCCCTCCTCCCTGGCCATGTCATAAATCACATTCTCCAGTTAACCACTTTGGCTGGCTGTGAAACCCACAAGTCTCTTACTGATTGCAGTAGAAAAGCATCTATGGAATGTAATTTCAGTTAGAGAAATCAATCAGCTCCATCAGTTCTCCCTCCCTCCTGCTCATGGCAACTTGAAAGCTTTGCAAGTTGACACTCATCTTTTTCTCTTTCTTTCTCACTCTCTCGCTCTCATCTCTCTCTCATCTCTCTCCCTTTCTCTCTCATCTCCTCTCACTCCTCTCTCTCTCTCATCTCTTTCTCTTTCTTTCTCCGTTTCTCATCTCTCTCTCTTCTCTCATCTCTTTCTTTCTCCCTCTCTATTTATCTTATCTCTCTCTCTCTCATTTCTTTCCTCATCTCTTTCTTTCTCCATTTCTCATCTCTCTCTCATCTTTCCCCCTCTTTCTCTCATCTCATCTCTCTCTCATCTCTCTATTTCTTTCTCCCTATTTCTCATCTCTCTTTCTCTCTCCTTTTCTCTTTCTCTCTCATTTCTCCCTCTCTCTCATCTTTCTCCCTCTCTCTTTCTCTCTCATCTCGTCTCACATTTCTTTTTTCTCCCTTTCTCAACTCTCATCTCATCTCTCTTTCTTTCTCCTTCTGTGTTTCTCATCCCACTCTCATCTCTCTTTCTCCCCCTCTTTCTCTCTCTCATCTCCTCACTCATCTCTCATCTCTCTTTTTCTTTCACCCTTTCTCTCTTTCTCATCTTTCTCATCTTCCTTTCTCCCTCTCTATTTATCTTATCTCTCTCTCTCTCATTTCTTTCTCTCATCTCTTTCTTTCTCCCCCTCTCTCATCTCTCTCATTTTTTTCTCCTTTTCTCAACTCTCATCTCATCTCTCTTTCTTTTCTCCTTCTGTGTTTCTCATCCCACTCTCATCTCTCTTTCTCCCCCTTTCTCTCTCTCATCTCCTCACTCATCTCTCTCATCTCTTTTTCTTTCACCCTTTCTCTTTCTCATCTTTCTCATTGCTCTGTAGGGCGACCCGGGGTCCAATTAACTGAGGCGAGACCAGGTTAAGTCAAACAGGAACTCTTTATTTCTAACAATAGCTGTAGAGGCTTGGAATAAACAGAACCCAGAACAAGGGGTTTGACAGCTATTTATACTGTAGCTGTCAAACTAAACAATCAATAGGAGGGCAACATTCTCCCGCCGGCAAGTCCGTGCGTCTCAGCCAATCAGGGACGCCCGTCGTAAGTCGAGGACTTAACACCCCTTCCCCTCTGGATGGAGCAGGCGTAATCGGCCAGATACGCAGGGCGCCTGCGCGTTCGACTAGATCTACGCAGTTCAGGGGTGGCTGCCTGAGTAGTAGGCGGTGCTTGTGTCACCAGCGGAACTCCCGGCGACTCGTCTGGAACACCCGAGTCGGCCTCGTCGTCGGATTGCTGGCCAGGTTCTTCCAGTAAGTTGGGCTCTGGGGCCGCGTTTGAGCTAGGGACAGTTGGTGTATAGTTAGGGGTTGGAACTGTTGCGGGCTCATCCCGGCCGGCTGAGATATCTGTATGGGATGTTAAACGGGCTCTGATTTGATTCAGATGACGGTGCCAGAGCCTGCCATCGGGTAGCCGGATTTGGTAGGAGTACGGGCCGGTGTTTTGCTCAATGGTTCCTGGTAGCCATTTGGGTTCGCCCCCAAAGTTTTGGGCATACACAGAATCGCCAACACTGAAGCTACGGTGGCGACTGGTTGAGTCAGGGGGCTTCTCTGGAGAGTAGGCAGGGTGCAAGCGGTCGAGGTCGGTGCGGAGACGTCGGCCCATTAGAAGTTCTGCGGGGCTCCTGTTGGTAGAAGGGCATGGAGTTACGTGCTGTGCCAACAGGTATAGGGCCACTTTCTCCTGCCAGTCCCCGTGGGTGAATCGGGAGAGGGTCTCTTTGGCTGACCTCACGGCCCTTTCTGCCAAACCATTGCTGGCAGGGCAAAATGGTGCCACCCTGGCGTGGTGTATCCCATGTCCTGCTAGGAAGACCTGGAAGGCAGCAGATGCTAGTTGCGGGCCATTGTCCGAAACGATGACATCGGGCAACCCGTGGGTGGCAAAAAGTCTTTGCAAGGCCCTGATTAGGGCGGCCGAGGTGGTTGATGCCATGGCGACTATCTCCACCCACTTTGAGTAGGCATCGACCACCACTAGGAAGGTTTGCCCATGGAAGGGTCTGGCAAAGTCCACATGGATTCGTGACCAAGGCGACTTTGGCATCTCCCACTCTTTGACTGGAGTGGCGGGGGCTGATGGTCGGGACAGTTGGCAAGGCTGGCACCCTGCGACCCACAGAGTGGCCGCTTGATCAAAATTTGGCCACCAGACGTAACTGCGCCCTAGAGATTTCATCCTAGCTATTCCCGGGTGTCCCTCATGCAGAGATTCCAAAACTCGCTGCTGGAGTTTGGCGGGTACTACTACTCTATTTCCCCACAGCAAACACCCTCGCTGTACAGACAACTCATGCTGTCTGACGTGGTATGGCTTGAACTCAGGACCTACACTTCCCGGAGGCCATCCCCTGCGCACCCAGTCTAAAACTCTGCGGAGGATGGGGTCTTTAGCAGAGTGGGTCGCAATATCGGAAGCAGAGAGTGGCAGGTGCAGGGACTCAATGAGGAGGACCTGAGAAGTCGGAGAGGGATCATAGATAGAGATGGGCAAGGGGCAGCGGCTGAGGGCATCTGCATGTGTCAGAAGTTTGCCCAGGCAATAGACGAGAGAATACGAGTAAGCGGCTAGGAATTCAACCCAGCGTGACATGCGAGGGGAGAGGACCTGGGGCGTCGCGATGTTGCCAGCCAGGATGCCTAAGAGGGGTTTGTGATCTGTGACTAAGGTGAAGGGCCGGCCATAAAGGTAATCATGGAAACGCTTGACGGCTGCCACAGCAGCCAGCGCCTCCTTGTCAATCTGGCCATAATTGCGCTCCGTGGAGGAGAGCGTCCTGGAATAAAAGGCAATGGGGGCCTCAGTGCCATTAGGGAGGGCGTGGCTTAAAACGGCCCCGATCCCGAAGGGGGAGGCGTCGGCAGCAAGAACTAAGGGAAGGCTTTCAGAGTATTGTACCAAAACGGCATCAGATGACAGGAGGGATTTGACAGCCTCAAAGGAGGATGCCTCCCGGGGGCCCCAGCGCCAGGGGGATTTCTTATCTAACAGGCGGTGCAGGGGTTCGGCAACAGTGGCCTTGTGTGGCAAAAAGGTGCTGTAAAAATTCAAAAGCCCGAGGAAGGCTTGTAGGTCGGTTTTGTTGCCAGGGGTGGGGGCCCGCTTAATGGCAGCTATCTTTGAAGGGGTGGGATGTATGCCAGAGGCATCAATCAAATATCCTAAGAATTCAACTTGGGGCACCCCGAGTCTACATTTAGCCTTCTTGAGTTTAAGGCCAGCCGTTTGGAAACGGCACAGGACTGTCCTCAGCTTGACTTTAAGTTCTGACTGGCTGGAGGCAGAGATGATGATGTCATCAAAATATGGAACGACTCCTGGCAGCCCTTGCAGGAGTCGCTCCATAAGGCTCTGGAATATGCCTGGAGCCACACTAATGCCAAACTGGAGGCGGTGGCATTTGAATGCCCCCCGGTGTGTAACTATGGTCTGGGCTGCAGCTGTGGCAGAATCAACGGGGAGTTGCTGATAGGCTTGCGCCATGTCCAGTTTGGCAAAAATGGAGCCTTTGCCCAATGAGTGCAACAAGTGTTGCACTACGGGTACAGGATAAGGGTGGGCTTGGAGGGCCTTATTTACTGTATTTTTATAGTCCGCGCAGATGCGGATAGACCCATCAGGCTTGATGGGTAGGACTATGGGGGTCTCCCAGGGGGCGTGGTCGGTGGGTTCAAGAATGCCCTGTGCAATAAGTTTATCTAGCTCTTTATCCACCAGAGGTTTGAGTGCAAATGGCACCCTCCTGGGCTTTAATCTAACGGGGGCTACTTTTGGGTCTAAATTGAGGGAGATGGGAGATCCCTTATATTTACCTAAGTTGTCGTTGAAAACGTCTGCGAATTCAGCCATGAGATCCTCAAAGTTATCAGGGCGTACTGAATGGATGCCAGTTATGCCAAGTCCCAAGGCGCCAAACCAATCGAGCCCTAGCAGGCTGGGCAGCGGGTCTCGTACGATGATCAAAGGAAGCTTGCCAGTGAAGGTCTTGTGCTCCACTAGGAGCTTGGCGCCACCCATGACAGGAATGTCATTCCCCTGATAGTCCCGGAGGCGTACTTGGCATGGTTGAAGGGCGCGTTTTTGAATATTTGGTGCCACTTGCTTTAGAGTGTGCCAAGAGATTAGGGACTTGGAAGACCCCGTGTCGACCTCCATTTGGCAGGGGTTTCCTTCTATGGTAATTGTCATGTAGATTTTCTTGTTGGAACTAACTCTGGTTTGGCGGGCAGACACTGCAGGAGCGTTGTTACTCTTGGAAACGGCAAAACAGTCACCGCTTGGCTTGGGTGTTTTTTGAAACAGTCGTCTGGAGGCGTTCGGCTGTGTGCCTTGCAGATTAGCCCGGCAGACTCTTGCCAGGTGCCCCTTTTTTCCACATCTGCGGCAGATGGTGGTTCTAAAACGACAAGTTGCTCTGGGATGCATTTCACCGCAGCCTTGACAGGGAGACCCTGCGAAGTCCTTGTCTGAGGTAATTCTTTTACCCTTGGAGGTTTTGAGGCGGCTAACCTCATCCTCCTCCTCCTCGATCACCTCAGAGCCTGCCTCTTCCGAATGGACGGTGTTGGGCTTGGTGGCAGGAGCGGCGGATTGCGATTTACGAATTTCTAATGTAGATCTGCTAGATAGTTCGCATGCCTGAGCCTCCTCTATGGCAGTTGCAAGGGTAATTTCTTTCTTCTCTAACAAGTGGCGTTGTATTCTTAAGTCTTTTACGCCACACACGAACTGCTCCAGGAGGGAGTCCTCTAGCTGGGCAAATTCGCAGTTCAAGGCAGCAGTCCTGAGGGAGGCCATGTAGTGGTTGATGGATTCCCCCTCAGCTTGAAGGATCTGTCTGAAAGCGAACCTTCGAGCTATCCGCGATGGCGTGGGTTCGTAGTGGCTCTTGAGTTTGTCCCTCAGGACTTCCCACGACACTGTCTGGACAGGAACTGGGGCAAGCAGGGCTAGCGCAACAGCAAACATTTCGGGGCCGCAGGCATTTAAAAAGTGCGCCCTTTTCCGGCTGCTGGACAGCCCAGTATAGTCGTTCGCTTCCAGGAAGCACTCAAATCTAGCCTCGTATGAGTTCCAGGTTTCTGAGGCTGGGTTGAAAGGAGCGAATGTTGGGGGTGCCATCCTGATAAGGACGGTTCTGTTTCTGTGAGAAACTTGTTTCTCAAAACGACGTCTCGTCGTTTAGTGACTCAGCTAGCGCCTTGGCTTAGCGCTAGTGACTTCAGCTGTTGACCACCTGTCTCTTCATGCCCGGGATCCCACCTTCGTCGCCAGTGCTCTGTAGGGCGACCCGGGGTCCAATTAACTGAGGCGAGACCAGGTTAAGTCAAACAGGAACCCTTTATTTCTAACAACAGCTGTAGAGGCTTGGAATAAACAGAACCCAGAACAAGGGGTTTGACAGCTATTTATACTGTAGCTGTCAAACTAAACAACCAATAGGAGGGCAACATTCTCCCGCCGGCAAGTCCGTGCGTCTCAGCCAATCAGGGACGCCCGTCGTAAGTCGAGGACTTAACACTCATCTCTTTCTTTCTTCCTCTGTTTCTCATCTCTCTCTCTCATCTTTCTCCCTCCCTCTCTCTCATCTCTCTCTCATTTTTCTCTCTTTCTTCCTCTCTTTCTTTCTCATTTCTGTTTCTCATCTCTTTCTTTCTTTCTCCCTCTCCCTCTCCCTCTTTCTCATCTCTCCCTTTCTCTTTCTCTTGAGATGGGCTCTCCTCTGTCTCTCTCATGTGTGTGTGTGTGTGCATGCATGCATGCGTGTGCACAAGCCTGATAGAGGAGAGAGCCATCCATTTTCCTGGCACAGGAAGGGGTTTGAGACTGCGTCGCGGTCCTGACGGCCAACATCACAACCGCTTCTTCCTCTTCCCCCCCCTCTTGTTGAGGTCTTGCTCTCTTCTTCTTTTCCTCTCCCCCGCAAGCTTGCCGTTCCCCTTGCGGTGCCTGCGGGGCTCGAGACTTTCCTCTCTTCTCTTTCCTGAGCTTTAACAGAGGGGAAGCAAAAACAGCCAAATGGCACGCATCTTCCTGGAGCAACAGGTGGGATCTAGGCCCACGTTCTAGGCGTTTGTTCTGCTCTCCCCCCTGCTGTTTCACAGCATTTAACTTATCCCCATTTCCACCACAGCCGGACAGCCTGCCCACCTGGCAGGAGCACACAGTGTTGCCTGTATCGCAGAGTTAAAGTCAGAAACAGCCAGGCTGCTTGGCTTGCCCTGACAGATCATCTTTTTTCCCTCCCCTTGCCTCATTTTTTTTTTAACTCACTGCTTTAGAGGCAGCATATACAGGCAAAGCCCGAGAGGCACGCATGCACAGGGCAAGGGTCTCAGTCACCCTGCACCCTCCACTCCACTTTTTTTCCTACCCTCCTTTTCGCTCGACGGCCTTTGAATGTGTGCTGAGGAGGAGCAGGGGCATCCAGCCCTTTTTCTTGCCACTGCCAGCACCACATAGAAACAACCGCTGCCTCCCCTCAACCTGTTGCTCAACCTCCCTCCAGCCTTGTAAGATATTGCATGCATATGATGCACCAGAGACTAGAAGGGGTTAAGTCTTTACAGACATCACATGTGACTATATCAGCCAATGAACTCTCTTATTGGACTCTTACCTAGAAACCATTTGGATATCTTCCCCTTTTTTCTCTCTCTCTCATCTATCTCTCAGCAAGACAACACGTGAACTTCTCTCTCCTCTCAACATCTGAGTCATACAGTTAGGGTAAAAATGCAACAGGACACCCTGTTCATTATCGTATGCATGTATATATTTGTAAATAATAAAACAACCTTTTGAACCTGAAGCTGTATTGACGAAATAACTTCCTCATAGAACCAAATGAGCATGACCATCAATATATATCTGATAAGCCTTAACCCAAAGCCTCGCACCACACCAGAAGGCTGAAGTTGGAATTTCTTACCCCCACTCCAACCCACACGTACCTTGGCAACAGGACTGTTTCTCTCCACCCCCTTTTCCTGATGCTGGATCAGGGGGACGAACCTAGCTTTGCTGCTCATTGCAGCTAGGAATCTCAAAGCTGAGAACGAACATTTGTGCTACCAGCCTCTAGATCAGCCTCCTGCAAACTCTGTATCTTGAGGAGCCAGGCCAAACTTTTGTGTGCCAACTCTCTGAGGTGGAGGATGGGGCTGGAGCCAATAGGTGGCCAAGCTAAGTGCCTGAAGGCCCCATCTTGTCATCAGGAGTCCTGGTGCCTCAGTGAATGAAACTTTGGCCAGGCTCCTCAGAAGAAGATAGAGTTTGCAGACCACCTGCCTATCTAGCACCCAGATTGGCTGCAACACAAGCATTCATTCTTGGCTTTATTTGAGATTCCTAGCTGCAATGGATAGCAAAGCTAGGACTGATTCCAGCCGCGGCTTCCAGCTCCAAACTAAGGGCTGTTTTGGGTGCCACCAGCTGGTGCAAATGTACCGGGATGAAGGCTGAGTGGGTAGGGCAAAGGCAACTTGTGCTTCACTCCTGCACACTAAGGCTGTCACTACCGCCGCTTCAGCCTGTGCCACCCTCCTTGATGCCACAGCACCATTACCTTTAGGGAGCTGCAGTCTCAAAGATTGTGTGGCAAGAGAAAAGGAGCCACATGTGCTGCCACTGCCGTTCCAGAGGGCTGCCTCAAGAGTGAGGGGGAATAAAGAAGCCAGCAAGCAAGCAAAGGGTCCCTCACTTGCTTTGCTCTCCTGCCTCTGCTGCCTTTTCTTGGCTCCCCTCATCTTGCAGCCAGCCTTCTTATTTAGGGAGCTGCTGCAGATCAGGAGGGCCGCACAGCAAGAGAAAAGGAATTTCATTTCACTTTACAAGAGCAGAGGTGGGACAGCAAAGCCAGTGATGCTTTGGCCTGCCGGTTGGCCTCTTTATTCCCCCTCACTCCTGAAGCAGTCCTCTGGAACAGCAGCACCAGCACACTTTTTGCTTCCCCCTCCCCCTCCCGATCCAGCGTGGTACAGACAGCCCAATGGAGGGAGAAAATGGGGCATTTCCATTGGCCCTTCTTTGGGCCTCGGGGACTGGGGGGAAGGCAGGCAAGTGTGCAGAGCCTCGGGGACCATGGGGAAGGCAGCAGGGAAGGCAGGCAAGCATGCAGGGCCTCAGGGACTGTGGGGTGACATAGTAGGAGGCAGCTAGGCCAGGATTCAGGCCTTGCTGCTAGCAGTCACTCATCTAGGCAGATCAGGGCAGCTTAGCTGGGCTGTGCGGAGAGTGCTGCATGGGATTCAGCTGTGTAGAAAGCAGGCAAGCTGGCTGGGCCTCGACACCATGTTGTCGAGGCAAGCCAGATGGAGAGCAGCAGCAGCTATGCCGGGCGAGCGGACAAGATGAGGAGTGATTGATAAATACTGAGGTGGGTAGGCATAAACAAGGCCAATTCAATTAACCATAACCATTCCTTTAATTAGAACGAGTTAACAGCAACGACTGGATCTCTACAACAACAACTAACTGAGGAACTAAGCAATTCTGTCAGGCTTTGACAGCTCTTAAATACCCGAGCTGTCAGCATCTTATCCAATGAGCGCTCTGCTCATTCCCGCCAGAAGAGCGCCCTCGCCTGGCGGTGGCTGACACGCATGTGCCAATCTGTCAGTACATAACACCCCTTTCCCCTGGAATGGCACAAGCGTAATCGCGCAGGTATGCCGGGCGGTGATGGCTCCTCCCTGAATGGCATAAATTGGTCCCGGCAGTCGGAATGGGCGACTGGGTTGGAGGATCGGCGATGGTCGGGGACGGAGGAGTTAACCCCTTGTCGCCCAGAGTCTCAAACGCTGCCGGTTCCTTCCGCACAGGTGAGTCCAACAGGAGAGATGGCGGTAGGTGGTCAGGCATGCGCATGCACACTGGTGGACTCACAGGAATGGGTGAGGATCGGGGGCTAAACTCCTGCAAGTCTGGCAAACACCGCGCCCTCAACTGGTCAATGTGCCGTCACCACAGACGGCCATCAGCCAGGAGGACAGAATAAGAACCTGGTCCCATTACCCCTGAAATTTTTCCCGGAATCCAATGGGGGTCGCCACTGTAATTTCTAGCATAGACAGGGTCCCCTTCGGTGAAAACTCGGACCCCACCCATGGAGTCTAAGGGCAACTCAGGGGAATAGGTCGGATGTAAACGATCTAAGGGAATTCGCAGGCGGCGGCCCATAAGCAGTTCCGCTGGGGAGCGATTGGAAACTGGGCAGGGGATAGAGTGTTGCGTCAAAAGGTAGGTGGCTATTTTAGATTTCCAATCCCCTGACCCCAACCTATGGAGGGCCTCCTTAACTGACCTCACGGCCCTCTCAGCCAAACCATTTCCGGCTGGATGAAACAGAGCCACACGGGCATGGCGAATGCCTAGCACTGCCAAAAACCCTTGGAAAGTGGCAGATGTAAGTTGAGGGCCATTATCGGAGACAATGACATCAGGGAGCCCATGGGTAGCAAACAATAGGCGCAATGCCCGGACAACAGCGTCCGATGATGTGGAAAGCATAGGCACCACCTGAACCCATTTAGAATAGGCATCTACGACAACCATAAATGTATGACCTTGTAGAGGTCCCGCAAAATCAACATGCAGACGGGACCAAGGAATGCGGGGAGAATCCCACTCCCGAGAGGGGGCAGCCGGAGCAGATGCTCACAACTCTTGGCAGGGAGAACAGTCAGCGACCCAATTTGCAATATCCTGGTCTAAACCAGGCACCAAACATAACTTCGCCCCAAGGCTTTCATACAGGCGATGCCTGGGTGACCCTCATGCAAAGAAGATAAAACACTCCCCTGCAAGGCAGGCGGTATAATGACCCTCGAACCCCACAGCAAACACCCCTTTAGAGTAGTCAGTTCAGTCTGGCGGATCTTGAAGGGCTGGAACTCAGGGACAGTAGGATCAAGAGGCCATCCTCTCCGAACCCAGTCAAGAACTTGTGAGAGGGTTTTGTCTTTAATGGTGAGCCGCACCACATCCGCGGCAGTGACGGGAAGGTGGTGGTCGTCGATCAGCAGAACAGCAGCGACAGGTGCGGGGTCGTCGACCGGAGAGGAAAGTGGGCAACGACTCAGGGCATCCACGTGGCCCAGTGCCTTACCGGGGCGGTGTAG